TTGGTATTACTACAATACAAATAATAATAGCAGCAGCAACATTATTAATATTTATATAAAGGGGCATTAATGATGAGTTTACAATTGTTTCCACACTTTTGTTCCAGCAGCTGAGCCAAATATGAACTCCCAGTATAAACTATTATATATGTTATAAAAACAATTTTTAAAAATGTTGTTCTAATTTAAAAAACAAGTTTTATGCCTTTTTCCAAGTCACAAACTTAAATTCTATATTTGGATATTTTGTCCTCTAACCAGGAGAGCAATGAAATCATAAGAGACAGCATTTATGTACATTTTTATGTATTGTACTACCTTCATGTAACACTTGGTGGAGCAAGTGTTAAATTAAACTTTGAAGACTATTCAAACCAGCAAATCTGCTCCCATTTTTGATTAAGTACTCTACTACATCTATATGCATATCAGCATTTGTATTCTTAGAGAAAAATGTACTGGAACAATACTATACAAATTGTAGTCAAGACTGTTTACAGATGCTTTCTGTTGTATGAATTAACCAGTTAAGAATTTTAATGTTTATTGATTTTAGAACAGTTACTTAAAGTGATTCCTGAATATTCTGTGAATGAATTACTACAGTAAACCGACAACTATTAAGAAGTAAAATGGCAAATGTTGGCAACAGAAAGAAGGGATTTTTTTTACCTGTAATGAGAGGTCATGCAATTTCACATCCACGCAGACAAAAGGACCATAATTCAATTGAAATTTTTCTTGCCTTTTGTTGTCATGTACAGTTTGTGAGAGACCTTACCTGATTTAACGAATGACTGCTCTGCAGGTTGAATGGACTCTTCAGATTCAGCTGGTGTTGGCTGTGCTGGGACAGATCTTTCTTTAAGTCCTGCATTTTTCAGTTATAAAGTTAACTTTAGGCTTTTTTTGTCTTGATTTAATTATACAGCAGCATGAGATAATCTTGATAATCAGCATGAGATTCAATTATATTATCAGTAAAACAAATGGACAGTATAAGCACCTGAGGATTTACTCAAACAATGTACTGTTCTAGGTTGTCCCTAACAATACATTCTCTGCAAAGACTAAAGCATGTTGAGAGGTTATTTGAAGAATACATAAACATAAATTTAGAAAAATGGGTAAAGATGCCCAAACTTCTTTCATTGGTATAAGTTTATTGAACAAAATCCACACTGATTTAAACACATCACAATACTGTTCATAGGCTTTGTTTAGTATGAAAAAGTAATGTATGCTGATAAAAACAGACATTTCTTTTCACTTCACCTATTTCCAAATTTAAAAAATGGTACGTGATTTTTTTTAAGCTGTCTTATCTTGAGTTCTTCTAAAAAGTTTTCATAACACATAGCTCACAATAAAACAATTGACTAGGCTCACAAATATAGCTCAATAAATTGTAAAGAAGGCTACAAGCCTAACTGTGCCTTCAGATTCAGCAATCTATCCTTTAGTTCTCTTCAGTCCATAAATCAGGTCTATGAATTCTGTAGCAAAATTATGATTCACAGAGTTCTGGTACAAAGGTTTCCCCAATATAGTAAGACTTGCCGCACAACTAAATAAGTGCCTTTGGATCTCACCATAATGGAAAACAAGGGAGATGCACACATACAGTGATCAGTGCCAGGGTAAGAGGGTCACAGAATTTCCAGGTGGGAAGATCACCTAGTCCCATCTTTCAGGTGTCCAGTGCAGAATTGGTACCTAATGCACATTTACCACTTACTTTCTAAAACTAGACTGCGTAAGTGAAAGGTCTGAGTCACTCACATTGAGAGATTGAGATCTTAGGATGTAAAACATTCTCAAGGATATCCTGATAATCAGGATAAATTTTCCTCTTCTATAAGAGAGTGGATACAAGCCAGAGTTCTTATTCAATAACCACACTATAAGGTCTACACGCTTCCTGTATTGTTCTCATTGAAACATATCAGATTGTATTGTCTCTCTCTCATTAATAGAAACATTCATTCCTAAAATGTCAAACTCATAAAATTTCAAATTGATTATACATCAGGATTTGTTTTAGGATTAATGAAATCCAGCATTAGTCCCTGAACAGCGTTCATTAGGGCTCAAACAGGTCTAATTTTTGAGGCCTCAACAATGGAGGCGGCAGTGAGAACTTTAGTTCCCTCAACTCTATTTTAGGTGTTTTTAGACAGGATTATGTTATATAGGTTTTTTGAATTCATTCTCAACAAAAAACTTAGCCTAAATGAACAATCAAAAGATAGAGAAATGACCAACTATAAGTATTTCAACAGCTCTGTAGGATCTTCTTTCTAATAGTTACAAGCACAGATGAAACATGTCAGTACTTAAAATATTTGAAGCCTGATTTAAAAAAAAACAAACAAAGCTGCAGTTCACCACTCTGCATACTAACTCCTCCTCACTTATAAAAAACCAACACCATGGCAATTCAGTCGTCTTGCTGCACACGCCAAAACAAACTCTTAGTTTCAGATCTCTCACAATATCAACTGCGTTTACAAACTTGGTAGATCAACAGAGCATAAAATATATGTTAAAGTATGTGCTCGTGTCTTGGTTTCGTTGTTTCAAGTTCTCCATTTCTCTTTAAGTATAAACTGGCAGAGCAACAGATATGCTGTAAGTATGTGATAGGAAGTCAGGAAGCAAACAAGTTGCTCCAAAGTGAACTACACCATACCCCTTTAAAATTGACTTTAAGCCACCACTTCAGTTCCATCAGCCTTTTTACTATTTTTCTGTTTAGAGCAATTTTTCTGAAAGCTAAATCTGCATTATATACCTTAATTTCACAACCATTTCTGGGCTATTCTGAACCATTTTAATGTACGTAAACAAGTACTTTTATATACTTAATGGGATATTTTAAATTACTGTGATACAAGGATTGTTTAACTCATATCTTTTATACTAATAAAGCTCAGGTGTTTTTAAATTACACGGAACAACATGAGCAGATTGTAGCAGACCAGCAAATCGAGAGTTAAAAGATTAATATTGCATATTTGACTTTTTCTCTATAAAAAAACATAAGATTGACTGGGTCACTCTAGTGCAACATATTTATGCAAGACATGCCTTTGGGTTTGTCTACATTACTTGCTGGATCGACAGGCAGCAATCGATCCAGCAGGGGTCAATTTATCACGTCTAGTGAAGACACTATAAATTGACCGCCGAGAGCTTTCCCGTCGACTCTGGTACTCCACTGGAGCGAGAAGCGTAGGTGGAGTCGACGGCGGAGTATCGCTGTTGACTTACTGCAGTGAAGACACCGTGGTAAGTAGATTTAAGTACGTTGACTTCAGCTACTCACGTAGCTGAAGTTGCGTAACTTACATCGATCCCCACCCCACCCCAGTGTAGACCAGGCCAAATGTCCTCAGAATATGCTCAGAGGACCAACATCTTTCAGAAAGAAGGTACACTATGATGAACAATCTTCTGTTGAGATGTTTCTTGTAAGTATCATTTCCTTGATTGAAACAGTACACACATTTTAGTTTCAGGCTCTTAAACATGCCTTTATACAGTAACAACTGCATTGGATTTAGATGTTTGATTTTAATGAAATGTGTTTTGAGACACAATCCCATGTACTAGATTACAGTGTGACTGATCTTTCACACACCATGTATGTGTATGTTTATTCCATTTAAAACTATATACATATTAGAATTCACAGAAAAACGTGAATTAACAATTACAAAGAAACATGACAGTCTGAACTACATTAGAAGTTGTCATGAAGCTGCTTTCAAAGAACAGCATCTTAAGTAAGGTTCCAAGGCTGCAAAGTCTTACACACGTGCTTAACTTTATGCATGGGAATAGTCCCAATGAAATCAATGGAACTTCATGTGTGTATAATCTTTGTAAGATTGGGACATAAGAGGATTGTTTGGGGTTTTTGTGGCTTTTTGGGGGGGCACGGGAGCGTATGAGGGAGAGTTAATTCTGCCTTTTTTCCTCAATGCCACTCGATGCGTGCAACTTAAAAATACATACTTGTACATATTCTTAAATATAACTGCTCTGTTCACTTTGAAGACTTTTTTTATGGCAAGTGAAAAAAGTTATTTTTTATGTATACTGAGACATCTGTTCCGGTTTCCCAGTTGGAGAAAAAAAGCAATCTAAAGTAATTGATACTGTTAACTGTAATGTGGCAGTTCAGAGCTTGGAAGAGATAGAGGCATTAGAGAATGGTATGACACTCAAATCTCCACCTCCCTCCACCCAGATGTACTTTTCTCTGTTACCAGATATAAGAAAAATGTTGATGTACACACCCTCAATCCAGACATTGGAGGGACCCTAGATGTAATCTGCCAATAGAAGTACGTCCAGTACCTAATTACAAGAAAAGCGTTTCTCTATCAAATATTTATCTTCATTTCCAGCAGATTACAGTGGAGTAAGAGATAAGAGTATTAATATTGTTACTGAAACTTAAATTTAGGAGAAGTCTGGGCTTGTTATGCAAGAATAGATGTCCAGTCCCATTTCCAAAGAAGATTTAGAAAAAATTTTTTAGAGCTGTTCTGAGAGATTTCTATGTTCACTCCCACATTTTTGCTAATCTAAAATGTACCCTGATCAGTACACAGGTGTGTATATATACACTTTATATTTATATTTTCCCAGTATTTAGAAAGTAATTCAGTATGTCATTCCTCCTAATTGTGTCACATTGTACTGTAGTATTTGCCATTGTTTTTGTTTTCAAAAATATTGTTTCCTTCACAGCACTATATAAAGGTATTAAAGCACCATACAAATATTAAGCCTCAATACAACTAAGCATGCATATATGTACTGGATCAACTGAGAGACAGAAGTGAAGTAATTTATACAAGGTCACAGAACAGTTTATGGTAGAACCAGAACTGAGGTGTCAAATTCCAAAACCTTGCTAGGGACCACCAGCCACTATAGTCAGTGACCCTCAAGTATCATTTTCAGATTTTGTTCTAGTCTCTTGTAATTTTATTGTGCAATGATTCAGCATATAATCAATTCTATTTGTTTGTACAATAAAATCAGAATTTGTACAATAAGTATCTCTTATCATATACCAACTAGAAATTAAGTACAGATTTTGTAACATACTGAAATACACTATTTCTGAAGAAAGTTTGTAACATCCTATTTACCCCAATTAATAAGACTCTTGGATACTTCTCACTCTTCATTGCTGAAAATAAAACAATAAAATACCAATCCAAAAAGTGAGCTAATGTACAGAAGTAGAACATTTAGAATTATTGTAGGAATAAGCTATTCTATGCGTGGCTACAATACACAAGTCTGTTCTCTAACCCAGTCCAGCCAAAATACAAATAATGGTACAATGTTAGCTTCCTGAAATTTGATCAGCAAGCAACAACTCCCATTTAGACATCTCAGTAAGTGGCTAGATTTTCAAAAGCAGTAAGTGCCCAGAAGCTTCCATTGAGAAGGGAGCTGCTGGCTTCTGAGCACTTTTGAAAATCTGCCCCCAATTTTGGCTGCTGAATACTTTTGAAAATCTCACCCATAGTGACCTAACAAAGGTTTCAGACAAAAGATGAAGCCAACACAACAGTAATTTAGCATAGTAATAGCAACACAAAGCAAACGGTCACAGGACCATTGAAAAACATTACAGCACTCAATAAAAGCATCAGACTGTGACAAATGTGTTTCTTGACACTATTTCTAGTTTGCATGTCTTCTAATGAAATGAGAATTAGTTTCTTACAACAAGAATTTTCAACACTTGCGTAATGTCCAGGTTGACCTCTAAATAATACATTAATAAACTTCTACATATGATCCACAATGTTTTTACACTCTTCACATATCTACAAGAAAAATGTAACTTTAATACAAAGCAAGAGACATATATTTAAAGGGTTAGATTGGTTTGATATTTTATGTAAAAAAGAAAAAAGTCAGATTTCAAAGCTATACCAACAATTTTTAATGTACAGGACTTGTGATCAAATACATTATGTACACATTTGAGCTCCACAGCAGATATATTTGTTGTGTGTTTACAAATGCAAGTACACACATAAGCAGTCTGCATAACTGTCACTCACACTAATGACTTTCAGAAAAATTGTTACTAATACACTAAATTATGTTACCAATACACTGAATTTTTCTCACCATCAAACTCCTATTTCTGTTTTTTCTTCTCATCTTCCTTTGCTGAATTTTCAGAAACTCCGGAAGGGATTTTAGCTATCTTTTTAGTTACTGTGTCTTTCCCTGCTTGAGAAGGGGTAACCTCCTTTTCAGTGGCTGATTTCTTCATAGTTTCATTGGGTTTCACATTTTTGTCTATTCCTGATTTTTCATTTTCCTTGCCTTTGTCTTTTTTAACCTTGTCAGAATCTTTCTTCAATTTAGCCACCTCAACAACTTTCTTAACCTTTCGGTCAGCAACTTTTCCTTCCATGGCCTTCTTTTTCTTTTCTACAACTTTGTTTTCCTTCTTCCTGGATGCTTCTCTCTCTCTTATTTTCTTGAGTGGTTCTTTAATTGCTTCTTTTACTTTTCAGATTTTCATTTAAAAAATGAAAAACGTTAATTAAGAGCACAATGTTTAGATCATTGAACACAATTTTGTGCAACTTATCTGCATAATTCAATGACAATTGCAGCTCCAAACCTGAATAATCTAAGATGACCACCCATATTATTTTTCCCCCATCTAATGCTGGCATAGCTAGCAGATTACTTTTTATTCTAATTAACCCATAACAAAATTAATGAAATATTTATGCAGAAAGATATCTTGATGCCTAAAGATTTGTTAATTAGGACTGCAATTTAAAGCTATTAATACATTTATAAAACTAAACAAATTAGATCTGAGTTTAATACTGAAGTCTGAAATCATGGAGCAGATGCAGAAAATAAGCATCTTATATTAAACTGCTGTATTTTCAATTTCATCCACTAATAAAACTACTTTTCTATACCTGATACCGTTAATTTACTTTTACGGAACACTCAGGCTTTTCAATTACTTTGTCTAACACCTCTTTGATCCTGGTACTTTGAATCTTACATGATAAAGCATTGTATTTGTAAGACTACCTTCTTTAAAACAAGATCTACTAATGAATTTTTCAACCTCATAGATCAGCAAGGAAATTTACAGTAACTAATATCAATAGCATAACACTTTAGGGACACTGTCACCTTAGTTAGGCCAAAGATTACAAAAAAAATTAATTTGAATAGGAAAAAGTTTGAGACCACAACAACACTATTAGTGAATTAAAACCAGAATAGGGAGTACTAGAAACTGATTGTAAAAAACAAACAAACAAAAAAAACCAAAAAAACCCCAAACTGATCCGTCTAGTTTCATTGTACAATGAAACGCAAATGAACAGCATGAGAGGTAAATCTGATTTTAAAATCTTGGCATTTTAATCAATAGCATTAATATACATACATTTTTATTCTGATTTTTATCTTGACATTGTCCCTTTCATACTTAATTTGTCTTATTTATTTAAATTACAATAGCTTAGGACTATGATGCAACATTCAGATAACATGCTAACAAAGCAGATCAACACAGCCTTCTCAACTACTGAAAGTACACACACAAAAAAAGATTATCAGTTATATTTTAAAAGGGGAATACTACTGTAAGGTATTTGAAACTGGTAGAAATTTTCAAACGGGGAGGGAATGTTTAGGGGTGGCCAACCTGTGGCTCCAAAGCCACATGCGGCTCTTAGAGGTAATATGTGGCTCCTTGTATAGGCACCAACTCCGAGGCTGGAGCTACAAGTGCCAACTTTCCAATGTGCCAGGGGGTGCTCACTGCTCAACCCCTGGCTCTGCCACAGGCCCTGCCCCCACTCCACCCCTTCCTGCCCCCTTCTCTGAGCCTGCCATGCCATTGCTCCTTCTCCTTCCACCCTCACCCGAGCCTCCTGTATGCCACCAAACAGCTGATTGGGAGGTGTGGGGAGGGAGGGAGAGGTGTTGATCCATGGGACTGCCGGTGGATGGGAGGCACTGGGAGCGGGATGGGGGAGCTAATGGGGGGCTGCTGACATATTACTGTGGCTCTTTGGCAATGTACATTGGTAAATTCTGGCTCCTTCTCAGGCTGGCCACCCCTGGTTTACACTAATGTTTGTCCTCAATTGTCATTAGGATTTAATATTTAATTTCCTTAACAATATGCAGAAAAGGTGATTCAGCAAAATAAACTTACTCTGATGCTATTTTCATACTTTGTGCAAAAAAAAAAAAATCATCTGTCAAAATACCTTTCCACTTCATACATAAACCTAGAAACTAGAAAAATGTTTTGCTTACTATGACGAGTTTAGCATAGAAAAAAGTAATTTACTTTCAACCCTGTTCACACCTACAAATAAAAGAAATTAGTCTGGTCCTCTTCCTATTAAAAGCAATAGTAATTTTTTACCTATGTAATTTAACAGAAGCAGATATTCAATTCTTACTCAGGAAAGTTTCCCCTTAAAGCCTACCGGAGGTTTTGCCAGAGTAAATAATAGCGAAAGCTGTAATGTAGTGTATTACTAACTGATTACCTGTACCTTCTCATTACGTTTTCTGTATATGAAAAGAATATACTCTTTCAATTCATAAAACTTATAATTCAGCCACTATATATCCTCTCAACAGGTTCTCTAAAGGATGTACAAAGACTAAAGGCATTTCATAACATTCCTTCACTACAATACCATACAATTCTTCAGGAAGAACCCAAACAGAACAAGTAATTAAATGGCTCATTTATTAATATTTTCAAAACAAGTTATTCCAAACACAATGCAAAACAAAAGCTATACATTTCAGCTGGCATGCAAGGATAAGAAAAAACAGTATTCATATGTGCATGAGAGCTTTCCCCAGTAGACATTTTTTCTAACAATCTTTCCACTGTAAATTAACAAAAAAATAATTTGGTACTCTAGCCTTAGAGGAAAAAATTATAACCAATGATGATGTAAAGTTTGTTACATTCAACAAACAGGCTGCCCAGTACAGAGTAGTAGATGCAATACATTCGCCGGGAATAATCTTTCTTCAAATAAGACTAGAATTGCAAACAACCCTTATAATAGGAACAACCACTAAACTCTACTTTAATTTCTAAACCATACTGAAGAATTACTGGATGAAATTCTATGGTTTATGTTCGGTAAATAAACAGACTATATGATCCTAATGGTCCCTCTTCTGCCCGAAGATCAATAAATCCCTTAAATATCTGAAAACAGTAAAGATGTCACTGAAGAGGATTAAGGACAAAGCAAAATCGTGGCATATATTCAAAATGTATCTTTCTACATACACAATATGAAATAAAGTTGTAAGTCATACTCAGCGAAATCATGCAAAAAACTTGCACAAAGTGTTTTTGAATAGATTTACAGTTAATTATATCCTGGATTAGGAAAGCAGTCAAATTAGCTGCAGATGGATAAATGGAATTTGAAATTCTGACTGAGATAATTTGCAGGGTATTTGTTTGCTGCGTCTCCAACTGAAAAGACAACCATCACATCTAGCATTAGTAGCCAGAGTTCAATTACCTGGTTTGCAAATCTCATGCATTTCAGGCATTAGAAATTATTTGCACCAAACTCACTGACAAAAAGCATTAAGTACCTTTGGCCTTAGCTTTTCTCTTGTCTACCCCTCCTGGCTCCTCTCCTGATGTTTGTAAGATGGAAACAGGTTATAAACATATTTTGTGATATTCAATACATTAAGCAAACAACATAAATAATTTACCAATCTAAAGCAACAACATTTCATTGGCTCTTTATGGTAGAGTTCCAGATTTCTTCCAAATGCCAACCATTTCTAAATATATTTTGAGTAATATATTTGTTAAAATAAAAACTCTTTACTGTACTTCCATTTGTTGGAGACAGCATGGATTGCAGGACTGGGCTCAAATTAGGGTAAGATGTTCATGGAACAGTTAAATGAGTCCCACAAATACCAAGCATAAGCAGACCCCTGCACCCATCACACAGACAGCAACAAAAGGAGAATTAGACCATTACCACCATGGTGATGGCAGCCTTCCCTACCAACGAGCAAGCTTACTTCAGTAGACGTGTAATCTGCTACGGCATAGCCAGCCAGTGAGATGAAGACCAAGTACAGTATGTGTCTGGGGCTATAGGTACTTTAACTGAAACAACTTTCAAACTACTAAACGTATCCACCAATCGATTATATGAATACTTTTGGCCTCTACAGTTAAACTGCGTACTTTGTGCTGAAAACTGACAAAAAATGTCTTTATTGTACTGAAAAAGACTTTTTGAACTGCTGGCCCTGCAAACTTGACCTGAGATCTGAAAGCCAAACTGTGTTCTCGCCTCATGATTTATCAGTGATAAAATAGTTAAGGCCTACTTGGCTGGCAAAATTATACTTGTGTAACTTTACTGCCTCCAGCGAATAAACTTACAAGAACCAAATAAATCACTCAGTTGAAGCAAAAGGAGGAGTACTATTGAGCTGATGGAGATAGCAGAAGTAATAAAATGTATTCAGCAAACTTATGAAGCAAGTAGATATGAAAACACATTTTAAGCTGTTTAATAATTTAAAATGGTAAAAAAACCTGGTTATTTCAAAAGCTTTTTGCATAAATAAGAGAGTGATTTAATTAGGAAAAAAATGTACAGAACTTAATTGTACCTTTCTCCCAAAAGATCAGTAATTTAAAATTTTATTTCTAATTGAAATGTGCATACTCCATAGGGAGAGAGCTCAGCGAATACCCTGTTTGTATTTTATGGATGTTTCACTTGTTTATAAATACCCATAATTTGCTGCAATCCAACTCTTTTTATGTAGACAAAGAACAGTCCTCAAGTTCTGAGCAAGTTCTTAATGCAGCCCTCAGCTGTGCAAATTTTACGTTCCCCTCTATTTAGCAAGCCAACTAATAGTATTTCCAAATCAAAGCCATGTCTATCATTCTTGGTCACAGAATTCTACAATAAAATATCTCTAAACACTTAAAACAAGAACAAACATACTTTAAAATTACTACTCTATTTCGATCTGATTTGAATGCTTTACAACTTTTGGCATCAATATTAGTTTTGTTTTGTTAGAGAGAATTATTATGGTAAACAAATATGATTTCAACAAAACAAAACCCTTACCGCATATCAAGCGGTTAATGCCTCACATGGTTAACATTAACATATTATAGTTATACCTTTCTAGGAGAACGATGTAATAGCTGAAATCAATCCTATACCAGACTGCTACATACATTCATACATACATAAACAAACAGCTAGCCACAAGAAAGATTTCAACCAAATCAGTAACTTTTCCTGAAAAGTTTGTTTTGTTTTGGCTGTACATACCACATTTTTTAGAAGATACTAAAATATAGTTTTCATAAATTTGAAGGCATATATTGTAAAAGTCAGTATTACTACCATTTCAATCATATGCGATAAACATATGTGACAAAGTCAGGCTGGATGGCTGCAGGAGGGTCTGGGAAAACAGATATGTTAGCCCTAGAATGCTAAAGGCCCTTTTTCCTACAAACTGGGAAACGGTTACTTCAGGTCAATTAGGGACACCTGAGTCCAATTAAGGGCTGCCTGAAACCTGTTTAAAAAAAATATCTATTCTGGTGAGGGGAGGACAAACTGCTGCAAGGCTGGTGGCAGCATAGAGATAGGTTTCTCCAGTTGAGGGAGTGCGCTCCTCCCCAGAGGGGAGACACCCAAACCCAGTGCCTGTTTAGGGGCAGGACTGACACCCCAGGGCCAGCGACAGGACAACACCTGCCCCAGTGAGAGGGCCAGGGAAAGTTATTCCCCTTTAGAATCGGTGCGTTATAGACTTGTTTTCTTTTGTGTTTGGCCGAGGACCACTCCTCAGGCCTGCCCTGAGGCTTACTGGGAAGGCTCTGAGAAACAAACCCCAGAGAGGGAAGACAGACATGCTCCAGAGTGGGGCTGATTTACCCCAGGCCCTGTCCCTGCCAGAGGAGGGAGCGCTAAGTCCAGCGAGACAGAAGAGGTGCCTTGCCACACATACTATTTTCAAGTTTTATGACAGATTTGGAGACTTCTGCAAATCTTTTCACAAGCTGCTTACTAAATTATGTAAAAACAAATATTACTATAAATATAGTGTCTTTTCATAATGCCTAATGTTAGTCAACTTGGTACTACACAACTCTACTTAACTGACACTAACTTTTAAAACATTACACACAAGGGATTCTTAAATTCTTATGCTTGTATCACACATTTTTTTTAATACAAAAGAAAATGTAGAATGAATCACACGAATAAGGCACCTCAAGCATTTCATCACTAGAGAAACAATACACAAGTACTATTAATTCAGAAACAACAACATTTAAAGACAAAGAATAGTTAGAGTATTTAAAACAAAATGAAACTTCTAAAGGATATCATTTTAAAGATGTTCGCACTTTATATTCTGATGTACAATACCTTCTTGGAAACTTCCAAGTTTCACTCTTTAAAAATAAATAATTAAAAAACAATTTACTTCTCATGTTTTATTTGACAAAATGTTCATTTTTTTCTAAACATTTAAATTAACATGACTGAATACACTTATGAAGTGCCTTTGAGAGTCAGTTTCATTAAATTGAGGTCAGTATAGATCTGAAGAGAACTGCTGTAGCAGTGTTTGTTGTTTTGTATTTCAAGGATTTTTTTTTTTTTTTTTGGTAGGGTCTACTAAACCAGTGGTTATTCAAAAATAAATAAATAATTAAGGATGGTAATTTTCTCTCTCTTTTTTTAAAAAAAAATGCACATAAAAATGCTCATAAAATGTCACCGATTTTTAAGCAGAACTCCCAGTTGATGGGGATTTCTGTTTGAATACTGACAGCATGATTTGGTCCTATACATTTAGAATCCAGAGGACATTCCCCCATCAGTTTACAACTCTTAAGTGGATTTTTTTTTTTTTAAGAAGGTAAAATGTAAATATTTCTGAGCGAGTTTCTAACAAAAGAAAATCCTGTTTTCCCAGGAGTCACAATGCTGAACTTAATAATTAGCGATATTAAAGCTTTAGTACAGTTTAATGAAATTTTAAGAGTTAAATTATCTCAAATCCATTACTGACATTGACATTATTTATTACTATCCTTGTTCTACAAAGGTAAAGCACATTTACTAGAACTGTAAGTAAACATCAAAGGCTACACTTTAATACTTAGAAATAAGTTTTGTAGTTCACATTCAGTCTGAACATATTTGTTGCCATACCCCAGAAAGTTCCAGACACATCAGGGTAGCAGAAAGAAAAAAGAGTTTCATGTCAGTCCACCACCAAGTAGTTTCCCAAACTAGCCATCTTTAGCTTGCATACAAAAAGTTTCTCTCTAACAGAAGATTAACAAAGGAAGATATTTAAATTGTGGAACTAAGAACGCAAAAAGTAAGTTTCCAAGCAAGAAGTTAATCTTTATATTATAAATCCACCGATCTTGATCTCTGAATTTTACACATCTATCTATACTCCACACAAGAACCACAAGAGAAAACTAATTTATGTTTTTTTTTTATCTTGTCCATATCATTTATTTTACTTCTGCAATTTACTATACTGGAATTGTATGGCCTTCTGCTCAACCAAAATAGTTTGCTTATAAAAGGCTACCACTTACCTTAAGTTGGATTCTATTTGCTACCAAGTTTCACATGTCCTTCAGGTAAACAGGCAAATCAGAGCTTGGAAAGATGTTCTTCCCACACTCTCAAATGAAAGACAGCTTTGTAGTTTACACAGCTAGCATAACAGAGGATTGCAGGAACTGCAGTCAAGTCATTCAGAGTAAGCTTCTCTCAAGACTCTCTTGCTTGCCTGTTCACCTAACTATGAAAGGAAGAACTGAGTCGTAGCCATGGTACATCTGATCAGGGTTTCTGAGCTGAAGGATGTTGACCTAAAAATCTATTAAAACACTTCCCGCAATTGTACGGATCCCAAGAATATCTGGGACGGAATGTATGTTATTAGAGAACATTCATAGCTCAGATTATCTATCTTCTCTCTGAATAGAAAGAATTGGGCTTTAAAAATTGGCTTTTCTTTGTGAAGATAAATCACAGATGTATGAGTATTGCATCTTGTTTGCCAAGTAGAAACAAAGTCCAAGAAGTAAGTCTTTTCTCTTTGTTAGCCTCATCAGAGTGGAACCGTTCATAAGTGCAACACAACTGTGAAAACTGATTGAAAAACCCCTTGGTAGTGGTGCAGCAGCATGAAATGTATTAATTTCTACAGAAAACTACCTTGATGGATGGCTATGGAGTTGGGAAACACATCAGTGCAGACTGACTGAACCACACTGACAGACTTTTTGATCTCAAAATATTAAGCAAAAAACGTTTTAAAAATGGATTTGTTCTATCCTACCATTTTTACTAACCGAAGCTGCAATTAAAATGTTCCCTAATCATTCAATGCCTTTCCCTTCCTTTCCAACCCCCACATGTAACCTAAATGAATAATTCACAAAATTTTAATTTCTTCTAAGGTAAGTCACTGGAGACTAACTAATGATACAAAATTATGAAATGTTACTTAAGAATGAGCGGTCCTATAACCAACTGCCCTTGAAAAAGTTTAAGAGTGAAAATTTTAAAGGTACTTTTTTTAAAAAGCTCCAA